TTGTATTACTACTGCTCATCGACAAAGTCATCGGGGTGGCAACGCGCAAACTGTTGACCTTACAAATCAAACGTGCACGTGTGGAAAATGGAGGGAATTACGATTTCCGTGTTCGCAGCTTGCTTTAGGTCCAGAATTAATCCGATGACTCTTGTGGCGCCGGAATACACATTTTCTGCATACCAGTCTACATTTGCAGGCCATTTTTATCCGCTTAGGGACACAAAATATTGGTCGACAGCAGATTTACGATTGCATATCTTAGATGATCATTTGAAACAAAAGACTCCGGGGCCTTTGAGAACGGCTAGAATCCGGAATAAGATGGATCGAAGGTGTCCTGATGCTCCACGTCGGTGTAGTAACTGTTTGCAACCTGGACACACTGCACCTAACTGCCCATATTCTGGTTACTTTCATCAATAGAATATTAGGATTAATTTGTCGTGAAATAAACCCACCCATATTTGTGTACTTTCTGAACATTTAAATGAAATGCATTCTTCTGTTATGAATATTAATGTTCTGTTATGTTGTATATGCTATTTTTCTCTTGTTGCTTTTTAGTGGCATTTATGTATTTTGTAGGTCATTTTTAATAATGCACGCTTAATTCGACTAATAATAATTTAGTTGCAGGCAGAATTGTCCATGGATTATTGGACAAGTGTGCAACTCCCGAGTCAAGGGCCGATTGACCCTTCTATATTATATTTACAGCCACACCACAGGTCTGCTGCTGTATTTCATGGCGCATATGGCGACCTAGATGTCAGAAGATGTGACAAAGAATTTTTTAAACCCTTTATGCATATAGACCCTCGAGTATCTGATTACATCGATAGGGCTGGATTTGGCGGGGTACGTAGAGCCGGTTACGTTCATGTGGATCATGGATTGATTACTGCACTTGTTGAGCGTTGGAGACAAGAGACACACACATTTCATCTCCCTATTATGGGCGAGGCTACCATCACCTTGCAGGATGTTGAGGTGTTGTGGGGCCTGCGTGTTGATGGCCTTCCTGTTACATTAAATCATATTAGGCGGAGTCCCTTACAACGCCAACAAATGGTTTCTGATCTTTTAGGAATTTGGCCAGAGAATAGGCATTTTCGAGATGGCCGACTGAAGATGTCATTCATAAAGGCACGATTACGGGTAGCATTGGAGCTCGATGCCTCTGAGGAGATAGTTCGTCAATATGCTCGGATGTACATACTGATTCTATTGGGAGGCCTACTTTTTGCAGATACCACGGGCAATGTTGTTAGTACAAATTGGCTCGATTATGTACAAGACTTGGAGGCCATGGGCGAATACAGTTGGGGAAGTGCGGTGTTGGCCTGTTTATACTCGCGGATGTGTATTGCTTCTCGAGCAGAAACTAAGAGTACTGGTGGGCCTTACTTATTACTACAGGTAAATAAAAATATATTACATACATTATTTTTGCTTAAACACACATCTTATTCACTGAAAATTACCTTGATATTGAGTAGCTTTGGGCGTGGGAGCGAATCCCACTTATTCGTCCTGATATATATCCTCGATATGAGGTTGGAGATTACCCAAGATGTGGGAGATGGGCAGATGATCGTTTAGATTATGAGCCTCCTGGTCGGCCTGTTGTGTATTATCGAGAGCAGATAGGGTTACTAAGAATGGATCAGGTATGTAATTATTTTGTGGATAATTATTATTTACATTTTTTTGAATTTCTATTCAAAGCAAATGAGGATTGAGTATATCTTTTTCCTGTTCTATCAGTTCATCTGGATGCCATATAGTGGTGACATACTGCCATCTCTACCCGCGTATTGCAGACGGGGAGAGCGTATATGGCGAGCAAAGGTCCCGTTGATATTTTGGCACATAGTTGAGTTTCATTGTCCAGATCGGGTGATGCGTCAGTTCGGCATGGTGCAAAAAATTCCTGAAGAAATTGACACTGATCAAAAGGGTTTGCACCAACTTGGTCTAGCTGATTTTCCTGGAAGAAATTGGACTCAGTTTCATAGGAGTTGGATAGTTTATTGGGATCGACGCTACGAAGCTGAGGTCCCGGGACAGCCTACAGATACATTTAGACCTTCAGAAGAGTATCTCAGATGGTACCACCGTCACACCATCTTGTACATTACCTCTCCTATCCATCAGCAGACGCAGCCCGGGCACATGCTCTACGGGGTATCAGGACAACTTGAATTTCTGGTCATTACTACTCCTACAATTTTTACTCCGTCACTATGTATGTTTTGTGCTAACATTTCTTAGTCAATCTTGTACACTATATTAATTTGTCTATTTTCTTTATATCAGATGGATACCATGCAGCGCATTGGACATCTAGCGCATGAAGCCCTCAATGTTGAAGAGCAACGATATGCTCTTGACCCGCGTCTTTTGACAATCATGGATGGTGCATTTGGGTCTATGCAGCACCTTCAACAATACGATCGTATGAAAATTGGTGATTGGGACCCATTTGAGACCCAAACACAGTGTCAGCACGTTCCCTATGAGAGGCCAATTGGACGTGTCCCTCGTCAAGCTCGAGCATCTTCCAGTGGAGTTAGACGACATAGGCATGGCTTGCATGATGAGGACAACAACGAGGCAGAGCATCGTGACCCTGAAGTGGACCCTCAAAATTGCACTAGGTCGACCGGTACACATTTTTCTACATCACTACATACACCGGTTTCGACTTTGCCACAGTTTACACCATTCACTCACTTTCCTTTTTATGGTACACAATTCACTCCTTCCCCACACGTACCTGCGTTTGGTTCACCATTCACGCCTTCGCCACATATACCTGTATTTGGGTACGATGCCACTACATCTGGGGGTTCCTTAGATGCAGACTTTAGCCAAATAAATGATTTGCTTGGTGCCACGGGAGGTGGTTCTACTACTGTAGATCTTCCGGATTATAGCACTCTTGGTCAGACTATGTTCATGCCTACTCATACCCAACCAATGGGCATGTCAGGACACACTGTTCCAGGAAATTTTAACGACTATCGTTCCAAAGACACTGATGACAGTGATGGGACAGCTGAGTCGACAGGCGAGGATACCCTTGTCTCTGATAACGCAGATGAAGATTATGGCCCATCTACTGCAGTTCCACAAGTTCCTGCTCTAGTTATCGGAGATCGAGTGCAACGTAATCGTCAGAGAAGGCCTGCTACTAGATATTGTTGTCCCCCGACGATATCTCAGGAGAAGGATAAGGGCAAGGCTAAGGGCAAGGCTAAAGGTAAAGGCAAGAAAACTGCGAGGCATTGATATTATTTTGTCTTCGACGATATTTTATATCTCATCCATTTAATTTAATGCATTTCACATGACATTTAATTTAATTTTGTTGTCTACTTTTTCTGTTTAATCCAATCACTTTTAATTTGAATAACGTTAAACATTTTCAAAATAAAGAAGTACAAGTTATTTTATTAAACCCTATAATTGGATAGAAGGGTCCCTATACGATAATACCTACAAAACAAATAAATACTAGTTGTTTTATAGCTATTTTAATACATTAAATTATTAAAACTAATTATCATATATCAAATAATGAAACGCAAAAAATTCTTCATTTCTACAAATATGTTATTAATATTTTTATATCATTACATTTTATATGAAAATTCAAATATATAAATCGTAATTCATATTATAATTTTTCATTTTTTTATACAATTACGGTTCCTTTAACATTCTGTGTGCATGATACATAATAAAGTTAAAATTAACAAATCATAATAATATTAAGCAATACTTTCATCCATTACGCAATCACTTCAATTTAAATCATATTATTAAATTATTTTTTAAATTTAACAAATCATAACAGTTACGCATGTTATATAACTTAAACTTGATAAAATGGTAAACATTAATTCTTTAACAATTCCCTAAATCCTTTAACAAATGGATCAAAATTTTTAAATCTAATCTCCTTTAAAATACTTGTTTTTAAAATTTTGTCAAACTAAATGCATTGTTTTAAAACTTTTCATTTTAAATAATTTTTACAAAAAAATTTTTGAGAAATTTCCAATTGAATTGGACAAAGATTTAGAATATTAACATTTCTAAATCACTGAGTTGAAGGATTTTTTATTAAAACAAATTCTAAGTTATCTGTAACGTAAACCCTAACCCTAACCCTTACCGTAAGTGTAACCCTAACAAAAAATTTTCTTTTTTTACTGAGGAAGAGGATTTTTAAAAAAAAAAAAACATTTCTGACCGTCGCGCCACGTTGGACCGACGGTCAGAGAATTTAAAAAAATAAATAAATTTCTGGCCGTCGCGCCATGTTGGAGCGACGGTCAGAAATTTCTGACACCTCTGACCATCGCTCCAACATGGCGCGACGGTCAGAAATATCTGACACCTCTGACCGTCGCTCCAACATGGCGCGACGGCCAGAGGAACTTTAAAAAAAAAAAATTTGCTGCCCGTCGCGCCATGTTGGAGCGACGGGCATACAATTATACCACCCAACTCAAGAACCACATTTGACGGCTAATTTTGGGAAGCATCAATATTTCAATCAATTAGCCCCAATCCAAACACACTCATTATGTTGAGATGGCTAGAAGAAGAGAGTCTTCAAAAAAAGAAAAAAGAAAAAAGAAAAGGAGAGACACTCATATTTCAGGAAGAAACAAAAGTCTATTCTATTTGTAGACACATTTAATAGATGTTCATACAAACACCCCCAACAATTGACACTCTTCATTCCAGTTTTTTTTACACCCCAAACAATTTACTCTGCAGAACTAAAACCTCCACCAGGCTCAGAATCCAAAACTATTTAGCCAGAGGTCTCAATGGCTTTAACCTTAGGTATCTTCACTTCCCCTTTCAGCACAGTGACCATTCTTCAAGTGTAGACAATTTGTGACATTTCAGCTATCAAAGAGAGCAGGAAATAGCAGAATAGGGAGTTGTATCATGTATGCATTGATGCCTGCTGTCTATTGCCTGCTACTGCCTTGCTATATTATTCTATATAGAATGCAGTATCAAACAACTTAATAACTGGGTTGCAGTATCATAGTTGGCAAAACACCATTCAAAACTGAGGTCGTCTATATTCTACAAATCAAATTCAAGAATATCCTAAAGCATATGAAAAAACACAACAGTGAGGAGAGAGTAATGCACGAAATTGAGATGCACTTTCTTTACACTATTGTTTGGCCTGAATAACGATGGCAAATTGAGTAGCTGCCGAGGAACATTGGCAACTCTGCTTCTCCTCTCTCTCTAGGGAAACTCAAACTGGAAGCTTCTTTGTTCCCCGGAAGGAGGATACAAGTACACAGCAATCAACGAAAGAACAATACATATCAGTCCAGACCATAAATATACAATGGTTGGAATCTTCCCCTTTCTTCCCATCAACCCCTTTGCGAAAGGATATAGATGAGACAGCACCCAGATGCTGAAGAAAACACCTCCAAGGAGCTTGCTCCACTCCGGGAAAGGACTGTACAGGGTCCTGGATACTGCCACCGCGATTGCTATCATGTTAATCAATATTATTGTGATTGGTGGAACCATCAGAACAGTCCACCTAAACTCATACAGCTCAGCGAACTCATCATCTTCATCATCAGGTGCTGCTGATTTAGATGTCAAGGTGAATGAGATATCAATTCCAGCTATCACCTTCAGCAGTCCTTGCACCACAGCTGAAGGATGTGCGCTGGTTCCTCCGATTAGCCAAAATTGCTCATTCCGCCACCAATCATGGAGAGTGATGCCTGACCATTTAATCTCGAGCAGTGCAAGCATGCACAAGGTGAGAGTGATGGCCAGCAAGAACACTAGAAACGTGACATTAAGTGACTGCACAATGAACTTTCCAGAGAACAACGACAGTGCTGGCAAAAGACAGTAAACAAGGAGGAACACAGATGTGAAAGGGTACATTCCGACATTGAAATACGCCACCCTTTGCAAAAACTTCATCCTAGGACTTGCAAATAAGGCATTGTTTCGAGAAAAGAAGATTTCAACAGAACCTGTTGCCCACCTGAGCACTTGGATGAGCCTATCTGTCAAATTGATTGGGGCCGTCCCTCTGAAAGCATCTCTTTTTGTGATGCAGTAAACTGATCTCCAACCTCTATTGTGCATTCGATAACCTGTGACAACATCTTCAGTTACAGAACCATATATCCAACCTACCCTTTTTCCCCACTCAGTTTTGTCCTCATAGAAGCATGTCACAACGCTGACTGCCTCTGCCAGGGCTGCTGCATCTAAAGGCTCACGCTGCACAGCAAGAGAGCCAGCTGGCCTTCCCAGGCATCCCTTTCCTCGCAATTCATGAAGCAGCCTGCCCCCAAATTCAGCTATTGCAATGGAGTCGATCAGAGAAGCTGAGTTTCCAAATTGTTTTGAAAGCAAGGCCTTGGCAGCTTCGTCATCTGCATTTTCATCGCCCAAAATGGGTAAAAGCGTTTCCACATCATCTTGATTCTTTGGCGACTTGGATTTCCTCCTGAGGAGCGTTTTTATTTTCTTTGTTCCAAACCATCCATGATGTTCTGTCGCTCTAGGTGGACTAAAACCATACAGAGCAATTCTCCTGAAAATGCAGCCTGTTCCAACATACATTGGACCTTGTAATCCATCAAAAGCCCTCATACTCACATCAAAAAATACAGTGTTGTGGTTTGCATACCGATCATTTGGATCAATCCCCTCAAATCGTTGAGGGAATTGTACATAACAAATTCTGTCACCACCTCGGTCTAGCATAAAACACATTCCCTCCCTCAATGCCAAGGAGTTATAGATATAGTGGTCACAGTCCAAATTGAGAATGAAAGGGCCGTTGGACATAATTGCACTGGCACGGACTAGAGCATTCATGGCTCCAGCTTTCTTGTTGTGTTCAAAACCACGCCGCTTCTCACGAGAGACATAAACCAGCATTGGCAGCCGGATATCAACTTCTGCTGTATCAATCAAGTTGTCCTCATCAGCTTCAGTCCCAAAAACTGGCTCTGAATTAGGTGGCATCAACATCATCTGAAAGAGCGAAACAAGATAGTAGCAATGAAGAATCACATCAGACTAAAGGAGGAAAATTGCACCAAAACCAAGAAGTAAAAATGCAATTTACCTGAATAATGCCCTCATGATCACCTTTTGAATGACCTTCCTCCGCCGATGTCCATGTTCCGGGCCAATGAGAGCCGTCGGACATCCAAGTAGCCTTTGGGACCTTAACGGCTTCTGAAAGATTGTCCCCAAGTTCAAGCTGTTTCTTCCTAGCCCTTAGCTCTGCTTGAGCATTGTATGCATCCGATCTTCTCCTTATTGACTCCGGCAAGGCATTTATCCTGACTTTGAGTTCATCATACTCTCTTTTCACTCTTCTCCTATCCCTCACAAAATCAATTTTCACTTTGTTCTTGAGAGGATCACTCTTCTGACTAAAGTATGCCTCTGGATTGCGAGGTTCAATGTTGTGTTTCCTACAGAAGGGAACCCAAGATTTTGAAAAGCTTGCAGCCTCTGCAAGAGCCTCAAATGTCACCAGAGAACCTCCATCATCAGATAGATAACATGCCACCTTCTCCATCGGATAATCAACTGCAAGTATAGAAAGAATAGTGTTTGCAGTAACTAGAGGTGGCTCTTTGTCTGGATCAGCTGTAGAGACAAATACATCAATCCCTGGAAGGTCAGATAATGCTTTGGGATTGTTGAGGTTTGGATCTGATGATTCAAATCTCTGCTTCAGAACCGACAGGTCAGTCACCCTTTTCACAGGGCAAAGCTTAGGTAGCTGATCAAGAAGCCAAGACAGTGCAAACCAAAATTCACAGACAACAGACATTATCCATAACCACATTGCTTCATGATTAGGATGTGACACCCTCCATGTAAGGAAACAGGCAAGTGCAGCAAGACGAAGAGCCATCAGTAATCTACACAGCCAAGCCAACATAAGCTTGCGTCAATTTGAATTTTCCGGTAACAATATCCTACTAACTATATATACATATATGCGCAAGTGGAGGAATAAAAGGAATTTGCATTTCTTAAACTATTCAAGGTCCTAGAGCGTAGCAAAGATGAAAAAGTCAGAGCAACAGTGGACTGAATCTCATACGACATAAATTAGTCAATGATCAATCGCAGATTAGAGAAACATATCCCTGTCCGATAACATGCTAGTAAATTCTTCAAAGTAAGATCTTTTTCATCATGGAAAAACCCAAAATGTATAGCAATTGAGCAGAACAAGTAAACAAGAACTAGAAAACAAAACTCTGGTTGGTTTTGGTTCTGACCTGTAGGGACTGATTAGTGCAGCAGAAATTCCAACTTTCCTGGTTAAGGGCTTGTTTCTCCGGTCAGTGAAATCAGGAGGATTTTGATGTCGCTCAGTTCCCATTCCAGACACGTATCCATCTCTAGGCCAAACCGCATTTCCATACCCATAAGTTCCTTTGGTCTCAAACAGCCATTGTGCATGATCAAAATCATGGTTTGGATTCTTGAAAGACTGAACCAAAGAGTAATTCTTTCCCACTCTGATTCGCGGTTGGGACCGTGGCTCATCCTGAATTTCGTCATCAATAACATCTCCCCTGTAAGGCTCTTTGCAACCGGGGCATCTTCCGGCTCCATTTTCAACGCAATCAAAGAAGCAATCCCTGCAAATCCTGAAACCACAGTCGCACTGCATTTTGGAATTCCTATCAAGAGCTTTCTCATCACAGCCCTCGATTTCACATACCAGATTTGATTTTGTCTTCACATTTGGTAGCTCAACTTCCTCGGAGCTTTTCCTGACGTGGGCTCGAGTCACCGAATTGTGTCCTCCAGTAAAAATAGTATCTTTGATGAAGCCTGCACTAGGAATTCCCCTGCTTTTGCTTCTGTCTAGAGGGCTGTTCTGAGATCCAGCGATTATCCGGTTATCAGGGGTGGGAGGAATGTGAACTGTGTAGGCGACAAACTCCTCGGTGCTGTCTTTAGAGAAAGAAAGATACCTCGCAGTAGTATTGGAACAAGAAGCTTTGCCTCCACTGGAAGCCCTTAATCCTCTTCCACTCAGGGGCGAATTCGGATTGTTTGATAAGGAATGACGCCGGATTGGACTAGTCAAGGCAATTCCATGGCCCCCACCACCTGAGGTAGAGACTGTAATTGTCACTGGAGATGAGGATGGAGGATCAACACCCATTTTCACCAATTTTTTGTTCTCCTTTTCTTCGGGGAAAACGGGTATGAGAAGAAGGAAACAGAAGTCGGCAGCTGTATGAGAACAAAGATCAGAAATTCATGGTAAGCAGTGAAAGCTGAGGGGTATTTCTGGGGGGCAGAAGAAGAAGAAGAAGAAGAAGAAGGGAAGTCTGAAGTCTGGGCAGGGAAGGTATGGTATAAATTTGAAATTTTGTGGGGTTTAGACAGACAGAGATTTCCATGTAACGGTCGACTGATTATGGTCGTTGGTTAGGAGAAATCGGACGGCGCTTCTTTGGACTTTATAAAATGCCCGTTTGTGACGCTGAGATGTCCGAAAGTTTTGAAGAAAGTTAAAAAAAAAAGGGTACTCTGCCCTGCCCACAATCCAACGATCAAAATGGGCCCGACTATAATTTTAACGGTCGGTCCAGTTTTTTTTTTTTTTTTTTAGTATAGCAATCTCATGAGCGTAATAATTTACAAGAGCCTCCGTGAGCTTTTGCATATTTGAAACAAGCCCCTCTAGGGTGGGTTTTCTTGCATTCTGTTCAATAATAACTTATGCTCCCTTCATCTCACTTTGATAGTTTTGTTTTTCTTTTTCATCCGTTCCAAATTATAGTTCATTTTTTTCAATTGAAGAATATAGTTAACTTTTAATTTTTCTAAACTACCCTTAGTTAATATAGGGTAAAAAAACAAAAATGCCATTTGTGATTAAGTGAACATACAGAATAATCCCCGTGATTTCAAAACATACAATCCGACGTGGTTTGAACTAAATTGAAAAAGCGACAAAAATCGTCAAAACTAACATATTTGAAGCACATGCACTTGTTTTACAACTATTGGTAATGGAAAACAGATTTTTATAACTAATTTTCATTTGATATACCTATTCTACCTCTTACAGAAATGCCTCATGTGGTTAATTCAACCTATAGAAAAGGCCCTCTATAGTTTTGAAACATATAAGTTGGATTTAATCGAAACTTTCAAAAAATATATTAAAAAGAGAGTAAAGCATTTTGAGAGAAATCAACCACCGGTCTTATGCTCTGGCATATTTGAAACAAGCCCCTCGAGGGTAGGTTTTATACTATTTTCTTGCATTTCTTGCATTCTGTTCGGTAACTTGTACTCCCCCTATCACACTTTGATAGTTTTATTTTATTTTTTCATCTGTCTCAAATTATAGTCTGTTTTTTCAATTCAAAAACATAGTTAGTTTGTAACTTCTCTAAAATACCCTTATTTAATATATTTTGTTATTAGTGAGTATAACCTACCTAATTCATTAATTGCTTGGATTCATACCTTGAATGGTACAATTTTCCATAGTATTGTTGTTGTAATTAATATAAAGGTATAGTGATTAGTCATACTCCTAATATCAATGTAAGGGTATTTTAGAAAAACAGTAGGCTAAATTTACTCTTCCAACAAGGTTAACTAGTAATTTTTCCTAAACTATATGAAAAAAAAATTAAAACTATCAAAATGAGATGAAAAGAGTAGAAGAACTGGAATAATGATTACGAGTTATAGAACCTTGACATTACATTGAAATAGAAGTCCATAATTGTTGGTATTTTTGCTCAATCTGTATATGTATATAACTACTAGCTTATTGATACATATCAATTAACATGTGTATAATGATATGTATGTTTCGGAAATAAAACAATTGAACTGAAAAAAGTAATGTTGGATGACATTTTATGATACTGTAATGACATGCCAAGAGAAAACATGGGAACAACTTGAGGGCAATTAAAATTCCGTGAGATCCAGATGCCTCCCTTAAGGTTTTTGACATTCCTATTGTCCTCCCTCGAGGTTTTTAAAATATGAGAAATCTCCCCTATTAGGTTATTAAGGCCCAGTCATTGCATTACTCATGGAGAAATGACTACGGGAGTTTCCCATCTCCACCATTTTTATTAGCTTACAATTTTGTCTTCTAAGTTGATTTGTGGAATTCTCTGTTTTTAGACCTTAAAATGGGGAACTTCACCTTCATACATGTTTCCACTTCTTTCTTCTTACGCCATGTTCATCACTCCTGCTGCCTTTCCTGCAAAAGTCATGCAGAGGGTGATATTTTACTGATTCCAGCTCTTCTTTTGCTCTGTCACCCTTCCGATTTTCAGCTCTCTGCAGTAATACATAGACAAGAGCATTAAGTTCTTCAGACACTTATCCCATAATTCACCAAATAATTCACTAGAATCTACACCTACAAGGGCCTATTATCATAATTAGCAATTTGTTGCTTGCAAAGCCTGAGATTAATTCTCAAGTGCACTAATTTGAGACTCACTCAACAGGTACATCATATTGCTCAACCATATGCTTTTGCATACCTCGAACTACCTCTGGTTGCCACACTTTCAATGCATCCGATGCTTGCCTGATGGTATGCAAGCATTCCAATAGCTGGTGCATGAGCCCAAAATGTTCCAATTTCAGAGAAAGCATTAAACTTTGAAGATTCTCCACCTTTGATGTCTGGTATAGAACAGACACATATGTCTTTAGATTGAAGGGCACCAGCAATGAAAGAATTGTCGTAGGCAGTCATATGGAGATGTGTTTTGCGAGGAGGACACTTGGTTGTAGGGCTGCAAACGAGCCGAGTCGAGTCGAGCTTTGAGCTAATCGAGCCGAGCCTTAGCTAAATTTTATCGAGCTCGAGCTCGAGCTCGACGAGCTGGCAATTTTCGAGCTCGAGCTCGACTCGAATCAAGTCGAGCCGAGCTCGAGCTCGAGCTCGAAAAAAATAAAAAAAAATTATTTTATTTTTTTAAAAAATAAATAAAATAATATTTTTTCTGAATAAATAATAAAATATTAAGGATATATCCGTAATTTCACTATGAAAATAAAAAATAAAAAAATATATATATAATATACGTAATTTTATTATTAAATAAAAATAAAAATAAAAAAATATATATATATATTCAAGCTCGCGAGCCGGCTCGCGAGCTAACGAGCTTAATATTTTGAGCTCGAGTTCGAGCTCGAGTTGGACTCGAGCTGGCTCGAGCTCGACTCGAGCTCGATTAATGTCGAGCTCGACTCGAGCCGCTCGCGAGCGGCTCGCGAGCGGCTTGATTCGTTTGCAGCCCTACTTGGTTGTATCCATGGTTCAAAGAATCGGCCGATCTGATACCGAAACGGGGCTTTCTAATCCAATACCGGAACGAGATGACTCCGAGATAATGAATCGTCGAGAACTCGGCCGAGACGTCTCCGAGACAGACAGAAATGGCCAAATAACCAAGAGTCGTCCCGAGTCAGCTCAAATTTTTATTATTTTTGCTAATTTTTTATCATATTTTTTTTTTCAATTTTTAGAATATTAAATATTTCAAAAATTTGTATCTCGCTGAGACCGTGACCGATAAGTCGAGACCGATGTGGAACGATCCGGGCCGCGACCGCAACCGCAACCGCAACCACGACTTTGAACCATGGTTGTATCACATTCTGAACACTCACTGTAGAGGAGATGGCTCTCTGGCCCTACTACAGCTTCAGCAGCAATAACCATCAGAGGCAGCAGCAAACCATAAAAGCTGCTTCTAATATCCATGTTCCAGGAGCTTGTAATGTGTCCTACCCTGCTTTTGTCTAAAAGTCTGTCCGAAGTCTCAGATTGATCACAAGTGATATAAAGTCTGTCTGAAGTCCCAGATTGAGCATCAAGTAATATATAATTTTGCCATTGTTCCTTGGTCGTTTCAACTCTATTCAATGAATACGGAGTTAACTAGCTGAACCTAAAGAAGATCAAATTTTCAATACTGAAAGGATCGGCTTTCGTTAATAGGTAAATTTTGTAGTGTAATCGGATATTTGAAGATAGGTGTGGAAAGTAAAGCATATGGCAATGAAGGTGTCACGTTGCAACCTGATATGTATGGACCAAGAAGGGAATATTTGTACAAAAGCAAGTGGAGACCTATAACCGGGGTTTGGAAATATTGTGTACTGCATAAGCTCAAAATGTGTTGGGGTGCCACGGAATTAACATAAATATAAAGGATCTAAAAATAAAACATTTGTGAGGAAGCGTAAGCAATACTAATTACTAAACAAAGCCATCGTGGGGCCACCAAAGAGGAAGCGTATTACGTACTAAAGGGAAACTAGTAAATTTTATATTTAACAAATTTTAAGTATGTGAAAGTAAAAAATTTTTGCCCATAACATACCAGCTCTTTATAAGTTTTTTGCATTACATCAACAAAATACTAACTATTTATGAGTATTTTACTCTGAATCATTACATTTATGTAAAATACATATATGTTTGTAACTAAAATTGAAAAAGTATTATACTTATACTTTTACGAAAGGAAAACTAGTAGATTTTGCATTTAACAAATTTTAAATATTTGAAAGTAAAAAAGATTGCGCCCATAATATACCAGCTCTTTATGAATTTTTTTGCATTACATTAACAAAATACTAGTTATTTATGGGCATTTTACTCTGAATCACTACATTTACATAAAATACATAAATGTTTGTAACTAAAACTGAAAAAGTAATATACTTATATTTTTACAAAAGAGAAACTGGTAAAATTTGTATTTAACATAAATTAAATATGTTAAAGCAATATTAAAGGTGATTTTATTAGTTACTTAATTTGTTGGTAAGAAACAAGGTTTCTTTTGCAAAATTTGTTCATTAGATTTTTTTTTCAAATAATTAGGATATAAAGGTAAATTTTCACAATCTTTTGTTAGCAATAGACCCCAATTTCCTCCTAGACAATGACGAAACCAAGATTTTTTCCTTGAAGGGAGGGCCAAAATGATTGATAAATAAAATTATTTTAATATGTTATGTTCAAAATAATTTTCACCTATTTAAATATATGGCATCCTAAAATATCAAATATTAACTTTAATTATAAAGGTATGTCTATTTAATAAATATGTAGTATAGTCATAACTAAAATTAAGACAAGAAATAACATTTGATTAAATATCTTATACGAAAAAATGCACTTTTCATCCTCAAAATTTGGGTGGTTGGCCAATTTCATCGTCAAAGTTTCACCCCAAACATATTGCATCCTCAAAATTTCGTAATTTTGGCCAATTAAGGACAATTGACGGGAAATGAAGAATTAATCGTTAGAACCAACGATTTTACCCA